ACGCACAGGTGCTCGAAATAACGCACAGGTGCTCGAAATAACGCACAGGTGTGCGTTATTACACGAAAATACGGTACCTTACGAAATAACTTTCACCTTCAACTGAAAGGATACGAATTAGTCGCATTGTAATCTTGATATTCCCTAAATTTATATAACCAATTTAAGACGCCTTCTTTACTATCAAGATTCACATGTAAATTCGCAATATCCACATCAAAGTTGAAAATTCAGCACGAATATGCTGCTCAAAATTTTTTTTTATACAGGAATGTTATTTTATTTTTTTTTACAAATTGCATAGTAATTGTTAATTTTTGTGATACGCGCACAACGAATGTTCAACACTGATCTACATTTCAAATATAATAACTCGTTATAGAGATAGAATGGTAAAGCATATAATACAAGTATGATAATACTTTCACAATTATTGAGCTAACTTCTCGAGATCAATTTCACAGAAATAGCAGCCATAATACTGACAATCTATTTTACTAACAAGACATGGTTTCTGAATATCCATTTTGCCAAATTCATTTTCCGAATGATATAGTTTCTAACATTCTATTTCATTGAAACTATATTACCGAAACTTCTTTTACCGAAATATTTCATAAAATATTTGTTGCGAAAAAGGCGCCAGAAAAAATTTTTCAGGAAAATGAGAATCAACGTACGTACGTACTGTACGTACTAATTTGATATTAGCGATGATCGATTTTCATTCTATCACATGATTATCCAAGCACAAATCTGGTACATTTTCAGATTGCAAAGTCTTTTCCATTTTTTTTGTTTCTAAACACATTATAACAATGATATAGCAAAGTTCAGCCGCAATTTAGTCAATTTCTATTCTCAATTATAAATGATGATCGGGTAATCGTACTATAAAACCTATGTGAATTTTCATAGATGTCTGGACGTTTTGGAGTTTTCTTTTATATAAAACACTGTTTTACCGTTTCCATCATCAAAAACAAATTATAAACCTGAATTAATTTATAAATACAGTATGAATCGCCAATATATATCCATTATTGCATTTTTCTTTTCTCTTCTTCTCGTTACTTCTTCTACTTATGTAAAAGTAAAACAATTAGTACCCACAACATTTACCGTCAATAAAGTTAATTCATCTAAAATTATTCTAGGAGTTTCATGGGATGGAGTAATGAAGCAGAAGATGGTATGCGTATTTATATATTTTATCTATCTATAAATAAGTTCTAATCCATTTGAGATCTTTTTCAGAAAATGTCTTAACTAGACTTATTTGTTTTAGCGATGCTGTTACTGTCTTAAACTCACCTCAGGTATAATTGAATTAATCCACTGTATTTCTTATTATTTAAAGCTAATATTGATTTTGTTTTCTAGGACCATGTATTTGGTGACCGTAATACTACCTACGAACTAGCCATTCACAAAAAAGATGTTTTGGTGAAGGAGCTATTGACGGTGTTATTTGGACAACCATGTTTTATTTCCAGACTTGATTACGTATTTACTTTTATATGAAAGTGCATTAATAGATTTCACATTCTTAAAAATATATTATTATAATACTTGATTTTTCAAGACTGTAACTTATTATAAAAATATTAAATTTTGACCAATCTTTTTTGCATAATGTTATGTTGTATATATTTGCTTTATCCAATTAGAAGTCGTACATGTAAGTACACACATAAATATGGAATCATATATGGGTAAACTAGAGGTATTACCCGGGTCAGTTGACACGTACGGGTCACGGGTAGAGATGGGCACGCGCGGGATTTTTAATATGACCTAAGTAAAATTATCTGGCCAGTATTATCACATAATCTGACTAGCATTGATATAATATCTGGCCTGCATTAGCATATTTACCGTAAATACTTGAAATAGCAGAGTCGTTAGTTATAACTTATCGTGGTAAGTTACAGCGGTAAATTATAGATAAGTTCACATGATAAGTTATCAATTCTCATTTACAGCTATTATCATAATTCCTGAAACACCTGATAAAAATTTGCCGAATGATTTTTCGGCCAATTCGGTTAAGTTATAATTTCGGAATAATAAGATTCAGTAACAGATATATCAGATACGTAATGGTAATTTAATAATCAGATGACTAATATATATTATAATAAGACTAAATATCGACATGCACTTGTAAGTTGTAAATTTCAATCCCTACTCTTTGGTACAATCCATTTTCGCTCAAATAAAGCCTTTGTTAATTTCTAATTATTTTCAACGAAAATTTGGGTTTAAAAAATTGTGTAAAATTTCAATTCCTATTCTTTAGCAAGATCCATTT